CTGGGTTCTTCGCTCTTGAAAATGATGAAAGCCATCCAAAAAGCCAGTTTGTGAAAAATAGATAATTCCGTTTTTTTAAAGGCAGAGGCCATTGCCAAAACTCCGAACAATGAGTTAATTATTTTCTGCACAGGTTCCCAAGGAGAGGAAAAGGCGGTTCTGAGCCGCTTGGCCCACCAAAATTATCCGGATTGAAAAGTTGAGGCTGGAGATTGTATTATTCTAACTTCTTCACCAATTATGGATAATAAGTTTAATGTTGAACTAATTAGCAACAAATTATTTGCCCTGGGAGCCAAGGTCTATGAAAATAATAAGGAGGATTTGCTCCATGCTTCCGGTCACGCCTGCCAAGAGGATTTAAAATTAATGCTGACTTTGACTAAACCTCGTTATTTTATGCCCTTTCACGGCGATTTTCGGATGTTGAAAAAACACGGGCATTTGGCTCAAGAATTAGGTATACAGAAGGAAAATATTTTCGTTTGTGCTAATGGAGAAGTGGTGGAAACCAGAGGCAAAGAATTTTTTTTAACCAAAAAAAAAATTCCAGCCCAACCCAATTATGTATTCAATGGTCGGATACTTCCTGCGGAAGAGTTGAAAAACAATCTAATTTTGCGGGAAAAAATATCCCAAGGCGGATTTTTTTTGGTGGTAATTTTCTATGATAAGGCCAAACGTAAATTAACCACTCCTCCTTATCTTTTTACTTACGGATTTATTAATATGAAAAAAAACGAGCATTTGCTTAATAATTGAAAAACAAAAATTACAGAACTGATAATGAATAAAATCTCAGTAAAAAAACAAAAACTAAATTGGGAGGAGGAAATTAAAAATTATCTGGAGGAGGAGTTATTGAAAAGTTGAAATAAAGAAAAGCCTCTGATACGCACTATAGTGGCATAGTAGAAGAAAAAAATGAGTATAACATACTATTTTAAACCATTTTTTAACCAATATTTAAGACCGGAATTAAAAATGCTGTTTTGATTTTTAAATAATAAATAATATAAAATATGGTCTATAAACAAAAAAGCAGAAGTAGGTGAACTAGCAGAATTACCTTATTTCTCTTACTAACCATAAACATTTTTTTGCTTTCTTCGCTAATTTTACATTGATACACTGCTCAGAGAATTAAAAATAATTTCAATGACTTTTCCCAGCAAATAAAAAAAGAATTAAAAGATTTTTCTCAAT